ATCTTAAGATGGCTTTCATTACATGCTATTAACTTAATTACAACTTCATCTTCTGAGTTCATTCATTAGAACGAGCTTATCATTTGATCATTCTCTTCTACGTATTTATAAGGAATTAATAATAAAGAGAAAGTTTTTACTTTTTTTCTTTAAACTTTAACTTATGCTTACTATCTCTGCTCTTCTTTTTATAGAGGATAGCAGTTTTGATACAAATAACAAAGATTTCTCTCTTGTATATGTTTCCATTTTGCATAAATGAATAATATGAAATTCTGGATTCTGCAAAACACAGTTGAAATTACAAGAATAATTTGATAGAATGGATGCGAACATAATTTTATTGAAAGAATTGTCAAAGTTCTCATGGAATGTTAATTTGTTTGGCGCAAAATTGTGGGCAGAATTTTAGGTTTTTTTTTGGCAGAAAGTAATTTGAAATTTTAATTTCAGTCTGTGTTCCTAAATTACAATTAATTTCTTTCATGAGAAAGTTCTGTGCGCCAACATATAGGCTTTTAATTCAAGTCTGAATCTAGACTCTTAATGATAAGATACATTAAGGATTATTTTCTTCATGAGAATTTTGAAAGTTTCATCGATAAACAATTTTTTATATATGCAAAATGAGACTTAATGAGAGCAATTAAACTTAGTGTTAAATCATATATATTTTATGAAAAATATCATTATGTAGTAGATTTTGCACAGTATTTTTTTTTTGATATAAACTTTCCCTAATTGAAAATAGTTGAATCAACTGACAGTATTGAAAAGTGAAATTAAGAGATTAATGAGAGTTAATGATAGGAAGTGTGACAGCTAGTTAAAACTTGATTTTGAACGAAAGGGGTAACTTTGAAATAAGTTTAAGACAACTTCTCTGCTCCTTCAATTTAAATTTAATTTCCATGATATTAAAAGAGACTGATCATCGTTCGATCGAGAAACCCAACGTACGACTGATCGAGAGAAACTCTCAAAATGTTCCGGAAGAGTAATGCCTGGTGCTATAACGAAAGTGTCACATCAATAAATTAATATTGTCGAACTTATTTTTTACTTAATTTTCTTTAATTCCATTTATTTCTAAGAATAATTTATAGCAATGGAAATGGACAGTTGATAACGAAGCGAAATATTTTTATTGTCGTTTCAAAGTATTATGATGACTCATCTTTCTAATTTTTAAAATTTTGCTCTATAAGTCAGATATGTATTTTTGGGTTTCCTGAAAAAGGTCAAGGGGGTTAATGTTAAGAGGTTCAGATACAAATCAAAAATAATTAATCTAGAGCTATTTGGCATTTATTTACATAAAATACGTTTAAAGATTCGGAATCATACGTATTTGTTGAATTTATAAATAGTATTGAAAAATCATCAGAAACTTTTGTGGTAAATGTCGTCTTCGCTTCTATTACATTTTATTTGCGAAAAGTAATTTTCAATCTGTTAAACTTCACTATTAGACATTAAGTTGTCATCGATAGAAGCAGCATTCTGTTATGCTATTTCAGCACTGTTTGCATCATAACTGTTAGATTTATTCTCTTTGCAATATGTCCTGAACATTTCAAGACTTCAAATTTAATTCATATTAACCAATCAACCGACGAAGAACGTGAAAGTTAAACATAGTAACGTGAGCATCCAAACAGTGCAATCACAATCACTGTGCAATGAATGCGGAAAATAAAACTCAGTATAAAGGAGTTGACGTCGCAGATCATAACATAATTAAATCTAATTAACGAATGCTTTCTCATGAGAACATAAACTGTATTCGTGAAATGTAAATAAAACATGAAAATAAAGCTAACATGGATAACACTTACACTTATCACCAATAACCCTAAAATCACTTTGTTTGGTTATTAGTTTGAGTGAAGTTAAGTGAATTAATAACGGGTAAGTAGAATAAGATAATGGTAGAATTGATAACTGGATTAATTTCGAGCTTGCGATACTTTCTTTAATTTTAGTCTTTTATTGAGCCAAGATTATTTTCCCGAAATAATTTTGAGCCCAGTGGATTTAGCTAAGTTCTTTGCATTATTATCTTTGATATATTGCTTGCGCGCAGTTAAATGTTTTTGTTTTGCTGCAAAATGAATGCAAATTCAAGTATTTTTAGCGAAAGCTTAGTTTTGCTCAATTTAATCTCAAATTTATTCACGGAAGAAAAGATCTGAATTTTTCAAAACAATGTCAAGAGAAAATGAAATGAGATTTCGAGACATAATATCAAATATTTGTTAGATATATATCATACATTGACTTTAAATATATATAAAAGATAATGTAAGAGGTATTTGCAAATATGAGAATTGCGCACATTTCCCAGAATTATTACTTTCAGATGAGTAATGGAAGGCGCAAATGTGAATGGATATTTGTGGGAATGTAAATTATATGTTGTAACAGTAGGAAAGAATACTTTCAGTTCTTTAAATTTCGTTTTCCTGAGAAATGTGCGAAATATGGAATGCTTCTGAATTATTGCTCACTGATTCTGATTCTTATTTATTATACTTTAGCCTATTTTTGGTTAATGGGAAATGAAGATTAGAACGAAGGACACCTGATGTTGCATTCAATACTTTTGAATTTTCCGTTTCACCATAACCTAATTTAAGTGAACTTGTCAAAAACTTCGAAACAGCTTAGTTTGTAGTGATAATAGTATCAAATCTCTACCGTTTACTTAATATCGTTTACCTGCTTGCAATTATAACCACTTCTTATCAATTATCCGCTTATGTAATGCATGTTACGTTTTCATCATCCGTTCTTTACTTCATAATGTATTTATTGCTTTCTTATCTAAACAAGTGTATGATTAAATGTTTAACATGGCCCAGCATGAATTAGGCTCTTTAACTGCAATGTCTTTTCTAGACATAAGTCACTCATGAAGCATTGCTTGTCTAATGAGATCAGGAGTTACATACATTGGACCAATCAGTTTATTAGTCATCAAATCCGGTCTTGTTTTATTTATGAGCCACTCTCACGCCTTTTTCGCCTAGAAACCTTCTTAAAGGACTTAATCTTACCCTAGTCTAATTGTCTGGCTCTTATATTAGTCTAATTTCTTGACTGTCTTTTATGACAAATTTTCAGCACAACTTAACTTTTTATAGTTGTTTTAAATAAATTTTATATACATCACATTTTCAACAGTCAAACAACTCTCCCACTGGTCATGTTTGTCCACGTGCTTCCTCCATCATTCACAATTTTTAAATGCATTTTCTATACTTTCCTCTTACTTGTTATATCCTACCTTAAGTTTGCTTTATTCGATCTCATCAACTCTTTAAAATATTATCCCTCGCCAAGAACGACCGATATCACATAAATATCCTACATTTAGGTAATATCCCACTTTTACACGATACCCCATATTAAATTAAGCCATTGTAATCAAATATAATGATTGAATCTAATATATACTTAATTAGATGCTGGGTATGAAGTAATCATTTATTATCTTATGGCTGAAATGAGATTAGCAATGAAATGACCCCGCAAGAAATATGGAAGCCGTAATGATTTCAAAGTTAAAATAAATTTCATAAATTCCACATTTCAATTGATTTAGGAGCCTAAAAATATCGTCTACTTATTTTTCAATGAGACTTTATGAAATTTTATTTTGCTTTCTCATTTGAAATGACTACCTTTTTGTCTCAGAAATAAATTTCCTCAATTTCCGAAGAGTCAACTGATCAAATTTAATGCCCTGAAGGCATCCTGATGTCATACTAGAAGTCTCACTTGACAACTGACCTGTCCACTCCGTTCTGCTTAATAAACCCAAAAATTAAATTGAGCTAATGATCTTGAAGCATTTAAAATCTTATCGAGTTAAATCAAAATCAATTCTTTTGCAAGTTCTAACAGAAGGTAATTTCAGATAATGGCAGTAAGTAGTAATTCTCAATGTTGGATATTTCTCGTTTTTTCATTAGTACTGCAATCCAAAGGTGCTGAATATCCATGGACCTTCGACAATGACTTATTCGGAGGTATCATTTGTTATCTTTGTTGTATCCTATCACAAAACATACTGAGCAATGTTGCATTTAAATATCGATTGAAAAACCCTTAAAATGAAGTTAGTGCTTTAAGAAAATTAAAAGATACCTCAGGTATCAAAAGTTAATTATCTTAAAAGTTTAAAGATCGTTGAAATTAAAAGGTTTCGTGGTAAATAAAGTGTAATTCAAAAAATGCAAAAATCAATAAAGTAGTGCAAAGTATATGGCTCATTTCGCTCCATTCAAAATATCTCGAGAATCGTCAGAATGAGTTTTACTCGAATTTTAATAATGAACTCAGACCTTACGAGTTGTTCATTTAATTTTTTTATACAAATTCACTTAGAAGAATTATCAGTTAAAATTGCGCTCGTGATTGGCCATATATCATATATTTTGAGGCAGATATTTCGAGAATAAAAGCCATTTTCAAGTTTCGGTTATCACCATTCTCGGTTATCAGCAAACTTTTATTACTTTAGCAGCATTTATATCTGCTTCAATATTTTCCATTTTATTTCATGCGGAATAAATCTCATTTACATCACCGAAGAAAGATTCTGTCACCTTTTAATAGTGTAGGTTATTATAAGTCATTTACTATGCATTGAATTTAATGAATTCATTTTACTTCTTGTTTTAGCTAATGCTTATCAAAAATCTCCTTGAGTTTCCTAGCTTAAGTATGAGTAAGAAAAAAAGACCAAGTAATGTTTAAATGAATGCAAAATTAGATGACACATGGACATTCAGGGACTTTTGTCCATTGAGTATATCTTAATAGCACTTGAGTTTCCTGCATTCTAATTCAAAAGAATTGACATTTTAGATGCTAACAATTAGAAAATCATAATTTTTTTCTCCTTTACAATTCAAAAAACTGTGTAAAAAAATATTATTAAAAGATAGAGCAAACATTATTCATCGTGAGAGTTATAATCGTTTAATTACAGTATGCTTACTCGTATTCATCTCTTGGCTTGTAAATCCATTGTAGCAAGGTAAAGTAAGGTAAGAGAAAATGCAGAAATCATAAAAAATGGTTCAAATTTGATTTCATATGAAATTATCGATTGATACAATATAAGAGATATGATGGAATAGGAAGAAATTAATTTCAAGCGCATTTATTCTCTGGGCTCATTCTTTTCTATAATTAATGATGAAATGAAGCTTTATTGTGCACATTGAGTATATGCATTGGGACAAGAGGGTTTGGGACAAAAGGTACATTTGTTGTCTCCTTAAAAACTTCAGGCTTTTTAATTGCATTTGAATTTACTTCTAAAATTAAAAGGCTTGGAAGTATATTTGTCATCCAAGGTTCCTATTCGTTTTCCTTCCTCTTTCTCTTCTCGTTTTAACTAATCATTAACCCTTGGAATATCACACCATCAGTGTAATTAAACATTCTTGGCTTCAATGGCTAAAATTATTACTCGGTTTGCTTTGAAAATTTTCTTAGCATTTTCTCCTAGCAACAAAAAAAAGTGCTGATAATATACTGATGTCATCTCATCTTTGAACTAATATTCAAAGTAAAGGGTTGTAAAGGAAGCAGGTGAGAATGCACTCTGAATCATTTATTATGTTTATTGCTATATGACAGATTATATCTTGTGACAAAGTTTATCTCATTTCAGATATCATTTAACTCTTACTCCTTATCCCAGTTGCGCAATTTTTAAATCTCAAAACATCCTATTTTAAGAGTTATGTTCTCTGAACAATAAACTGAGTATATGCGATAGTGCTATAATTCTCTGAAGATGAACCAAAGTACAAAAACAGGAATGTCTAAGTTTGAATCACACTATGATCAATCATCCCATTCAAATATAATATTTTAAACAATGAATCACAATCAAAACAATAGGTTCGGATCTAAAAGGTATAGTAAGAGGTTTACTTAGGTGATGTTGATGAGATACGGTTTTTTCTGTGTTCTCGTTTGTCCTTCAGGCTAGTTCTGCGTGTGTTCTCGAAAAAACAACAGCATTATGGATGATGTATCTTCATGTTTCCCGATTAGAAGCCAGAGTGATCCATTGATGGTAGTCTATATAGCCAAGGCTGAGGTATTGTTTCAGGATATCCTTATATCTCCTTTTTGGGCTCTTCCTTCACGAAAACCGGTAGCCACTTCGCCGTAGAGCACAATCTTAGGAAGGCGGTGATCCTCCATCCTGAAGACGTGTCCAGCCCAGCGCAACTGGGCCAAACTGTATTTTCAGTGTAACTATGTCTTCAGTTCAGTAGTATGCCTCAGTATTAGCGACCCCTGCATGTGTGAGAACAGTAACATTAGATACATAGTCAACCAGTGGATGTTTAGGATTATTCGGGGACAGCGCTTGTGAAAGCGTTTGAGTCACAGATGCTGGCGGTAGATGACCCATGACCCACGATTCATGATTCAGAACCATTTAATAGAATAGAGGGGGGGCAATGGCTTTATAGACACTAATCTTAGTATTTCTCTTCAGATGTTTATTGCACCAAACTCTTTCATGAAAAGCCCTACATGCTTTCACTAATCTGTTGTCAATCTCTCTCTCTCTCTCTCGATCTTGATCTTTGCCCAAATAGCTGAAGTACTGGACTAACTTAAACTCTGATTTGCCTGTGGTAATGTGAGGATGTGAGCATCGATCTGAACATTTCCCGACTCTCTTCAGTTACCAATCGTACAGTTCAAGGTTTTTTTTCAGTAATTCAGCACATTACACAACAATCGGTAATAAGCGGATTGGATATAACCCTGACTATGACAAAGACGTTGAAGGTATACAGAAGGTGAAAACTGACAAGTCAGTTGGGATTGATGGTATTCCATCTGAGGTCTGGAAACATGGAGGTCATGCACTTCAAGCTAATTTTCATGAATTAGTTCTGCTGGACCGGTATAAATGAATAAGTAAATCGATGAATGAATAAATGAGTAATAAATGAACAAATAAGTAAGCAAATAAATAAATAAAAAAAATAAAGCAGACAAATAGATTAATTGATTCCGATTTTGCTATATATGTATATTTTCATTATATGTATATACTATAATCAAACTTGAAAGACTTAAAACCAGGCTTCAGGATATATAAAATTATGCTCATTTAGGCTTGAAAGAATAGCTTCTCTTTTCTTGATAATTATTTGATACATAATTTATACGAAGAGGGTATGCAGTATATGCTGAAGCATTTCGATTAAGAACACTTAAAATTATCCTTATTTAGTTTAAGCCAATCTCTCAATTTATATTCATTTATACATTCAATTAATATCCTTTACCAATCACGAATAATTAACAAATTTTCAATTGTTTACAGTACATTAGAATCAGAATATTCCATCCTGTCATTTCTTTCTCTGGAAGGGCTATTATGCAGAAGTATGTGTAAGATTTAATTTGTTATTAATTTAAGTGGAAAAATAAAACTTTGTCTTGATTAATAAATTGTTAAGTGCAAAGGAATAAATAATTGGTGTTTAAGGAAACTTTGCATGAAGCGAGAAAAACTTCAGATTGATTGAGTTTGTTCAGTCTCCAATTCTATCCATTAGACACAAATGAACAGTAAATTAAATTTGTCTTCAAAGCGTCGGAGAGCATGTTTTACGATAGTTTCAAATTCATTTGAGGCCTATCCAGTCTCAAACTTGCTCCTCTCTCACTACTTAAATTGGACTAGTCTTCGATCAGTCCAATTTTTGAGTATATTAGATTTGTTCCTTAGGTTGCCTTTGATTAGGTTAAATTAATTTGATGGTGTATCCAATCATCTACATCAATTCCATCCAATTAATCTAACAAGTGTTTGTTAGATTTCTTTTGTTTTTCCCTAAGCCTAAGCCTATTTCCGTCTTCTATAGTGAATTCGAGCAGCAGGCACTTAATATTCTAGATAGCTTGTTTATTAATATTCGCTCAAATTGCTACTGCTGCCCAAAATCAATGACAAAGATAGATAAATGTCTCTATTCTATCCTTACCTTCGGTATATCGGGAGTGTAAAGAAGCCTAGGTTAAAAGAAAAAGTGGTTCGAGCAAGAATAGTCCATATCACCAATAGCGCATTCTTAGACCATATCTGCTGTGTTTTGACCATCTGGGGCGCAAAGGAACTCTCGAGTACTCATGTAACATCTTCCAAGAATTGACTGAACCCGAAATCTATTTCTCCCAGGAATACTTTCTTTGGTAAATCTCTCCGGAATGCTTTCTTTGGTAAATCTCTCCGGAATGTATAAATTCCCTCTAATGATTTTTTCACTGAAATTATAAGAAGTCTCTGCAGTGACATTAAGAAATTTATTTTTTGAGAATTTAAAAATTTCTTGCCTTGTAATTGATATTAGTATTCGGTTCTTTTAATTATTTCTGTTGCATATCCAGCCCTTTTCAAGGGGAGCTTACCGTTTATGGTTGCTTGTTTCTAACAAGAAAATAAATAAGGATTTGGAACATTTCTTCTTGGCTTTCGCTTCCAAATAGTTTATACTGAATGCTTATTTCGATGAATGACCTTAATCGTGACCTTGAATAATGTCCCAACCTTCTGATTGTTTATTGTTCAACCTTGAATACTTTTACCTTATATATTTGGATCATATCATCATATTACAACATGAATTTTTAAAATTTTACCTATTCACATCCTTGACAAGAAATTCTTATCTTTTGCCGAAAGAAATTATTTTTTATTTTCAAGTGCAAAACTCTCAAAATTTTGTGCCTCAGCCATAACTCTTATAACCTAATGTGCTTGAACAGTTCACTTCATATTATAGTTCAGGTTACAAATCAAGAATTAATATATGAAATTAAAAATATTTAGTCAGGAAAATGGTTGTTGAGAATGTCGCACTTAGATGAATGACTAATATTGGGAAGAAAGAGTATTAATAAGTTCGTACTTAAATTGAATGTTAACATGAAACTCATGACTATTTTCAAATGAATGGCAAGTTCAAAAGCAAGAACTATTCCTGGGAAAAGTTTGCAAAAATTTTAACAAAAAAGTAATTATACATCGCATTCACTTTAAAAAATAAAATGTCGCTTGTAATAAGAAGTAAATGATGGCATTAAGAGAAACATATTGAGCTTGTGCTTTCATAGTTTTTTATTTTTGAAGTGTGAAATCACAGTATTAACGGGATATTTAGTTTCAAGTAGTTAACCAATCAACTAAACCCAACAATCTATGAAAAAGAAAAAAGGGGAAGAATGTCAGAATGCTTTTCAAAACTTTCAGTAGTATTTTAAGATACCTCGAACAATCTTCTCAATTAGAGAATCTAATTAAAAATAATTTATTGACGAAGAGTTTCACTTTCTCTCTCTCTCTCTCTCTTTCTCTCTCTCTGCATAAGCGCTTATGTACAAATATATTTATAAAGAGATTCAAAGCAGAAAAACTTTTGCTAGGAATTACTAATGGCGAAGAATCTTCTACTTCAGTAATTTTTGTTTTCGCCAGGCCTTTCTGCTATTGTTAATGGGAAATTGTCCATTACTGTCATATGAAAAACGTGAGAATTTACGTTTCATTTTTAATTGGTTACACGCAAAAAGTTAGTGAGACAATAAAAACACTTTCAGACAATTTCATAAAATAACAAAATTCCTGTTTTAAAATTTTTATTTTCCTTCGAAGTTTCATTTTTTACAACATTTCCTACTGATTTTTGATTTGGAATTTCTTGCAAATAGTATTACGTGACTTTTCCTGCTTATTCAACTTCTATTCTACGGTTTTTCTCGAAAATTAATTTATGGGAAAAGTAGGAAGTCGAAATTTGATAAGCAACTAAATAGGAAAAGAAATTCAAAATCTCTAATAGCAAATGGTCACAAGAGTTAACTACTAGAAGACCGGCTGACCGATAATCAACTTTCCGTATCGTTTCGGAAGTCTAAACAGAACATTTAACTGCTAACTTTTCAACAATAAATTGATAAAATGCGTTGAAATGGAAACAAGAAGGAAAAAGATACTTCTGAGTTAATAAATATGTTAAAGGTCCGATCATTGGAATCCCATCCTCTTCTTCATCCAGTTTCTTTACTTCTAATGTCACATTTTATTTCAATTTATGCAAAACAGATATTCCATGATACACTCATACATCCATTACTCATCCGCTAGTATCATTCTTAAGAATCAGATGGTACATTTTACTTATGATTTCCTCTTATCATTTGTTTAATATCAGTCATGAAAGCTTTGCTATACATATATATATATCATATATATATATATATATCGTTATCATATATATATATATAGAAAGAGCACAGCTCACAGAGTTGAATGTTTGCTAATTTGATTAAACTTTGGCCAATAGCTTGAACAATTCGACTAATGAAATTTCAATGGAATCTATTCATTAGCATTATTTACTCACTATCGAAATTTCATCAGAGTATTAATGATATCAATAATTGAGCGTTAATATTTAGCAAATATAAGTTATAATCTTTGTTTAAGGAGAGATGTGATTTAGTAAAAGATTGCTAGATTCAGGAGGATTGGCGTTAATGTCACATAGTAATTTAGTTGACATATAAGAAGGAAGTAATAAGTAGACAATTCAGGATAATTTCATAATTATGAAAATATTTTATCAAACTTCTATTATCATTTATAACCTTCTCCCATCCTCTTCTATCTAATCGTCATTTCTTGCATTCCTTCTTTAACGCTCCAATCCTTCGTTATCATTAGCGCTTAAGGGTAAAAAGGAATTAATAAAATAAATGGAAGGCTTAAAACAGCTTTTATTCGTCATAATAGCAATGTCCCACTACCTAATAGTGCCATTTTAAGAAAAGTGCCTTTAATGGTGTTCTAGAGAAAAGATTGCGTGAAGAGAAATAATCAAGGTAATGAGAGGTTGTAAGTCTAAGCTTCATAAAATTTCGTTTTCCGCCTCTTCTCTCCTCACTTCTTTTTCCCAATATAAAGTAGGATTAAAGAAAGCATTTGGGGGATAGTTACTAACTAACCATTTTAACCATTACTATCGTTCTTATCATTAGCACTACCAAAAAGCTAATAAGCAGAAATTTTTTTTTAATTTTAAAAGATTAATGATTTTTAATTCATTTTCAGATTTTAACTTCATGACACACTCTACGTCATTTTCATTACTTTCCATGCACATACTCCTCAAGATCATCTATAGGGACAATGAATTAGCTTTTTTAGGCATTAATTTTAAATTAAGAAATTCCAATAATCGATTCCTAATTTGATTAGCTAATTCCTTCTGATTCATAATTGCTACGATAAATCAATCTTTCATTGAATAGCTCCAAATTTGCTCTCATAATGAAAAAATGCATTAATGAAGGAAAAGCTTTCTTCTAAAACATATGATAAATGATAAGAAGTGAGGTCTTTCTCTCTTTCTCTCTCTCTCTCTCTCTCTCTCTCTCTTGTTAAGAGCTTTGGATTGCTAGTCTTCTTCCATGTTGAGATTCATTTTAATGACTAAACTGAGTTAATTTGTTTCTTCTAAATTTTGATAGATATGATGAAGTTAATTTTCATCATTCTGCAGCAAAGTATCGAAAATTCACGGATAAGCATGCTTTTAAAAGTTCGATTGAATTTGAAATTCAAATTTCAGCACAAGGAAACAAAAGGTATGATTCCATGGTTGATGAGTGCCTGTTTCTACCCTTGCATTATAGGTCCCGATTTCTGGGGCCTTGTCAACAAGCACTGGCGAATGTGTACTGCAGGACAATTACAATCACCAATCAATGTAGACCCGTCGGTGCTACTATACGATCCCGGTCTATTACCTCTTGATATTAATAAACATCAGGTACGCTCATTTTAATTGATAGCTGGCATTCAAGTGTTGTGTTAGAGATTTCCCATACAATTTATATAAGCTATTCCATTCACCAAGTTGATTGATCTAAAGCATAAATGAACTTTGACCTTCCTTGTCACCAATGATTTCTCTAGCTAATTTTTTCACATCGCTGGTATTTAATAATCATTGACCAATTTGACCAGCTAATATCATTAGGACCACTAGAAGAATCATTAACTTTATTTTCATATTACTGAGACCACTTCTGGTCATTAGCATCCTAAGTGCTGAGAATTTACTTCAATTCGAGGTGCAAGCAACATTGGAAAATATGGGTCAACTACCACTAGTGACTATCAATGATTCATTAATTGAACAAGGAAATATCAATATCAGTGGCGGTCCTTCATCTCCTTACAGGTGAGTGATTCGGAATATCTAAATACAATACCACGACTTCTACGTGTCTCATTTGATATTACATATTACACTATATAGTATGTTAACATGTATGTAATCTACAAGTACTGTAATATGCTACTGTATTTCCTTACAAAGACAGGTATCGATTACACCATGTTGTGGTACATTTTGGACTAGTAGCTAATAATGAACGAGGATCAGAGCATACCATCGATCGAATTCGATTCCCAGCTGAGGTAACTTCTTCCATTCTATTTTTTGCAGAGAAGTAAAGCTTCTTAATGCTTAAATAAAGGTCAAAGGTACTAACATCTCTACAAATACTTTCAGTGAGCAAAATGAGGGGAAGTTGTGTATATACAAGAAGGGTTACATTTGCAAATAACTAAAAAAAGTCCTGTGACTTTTAGGTACAACTATTAGCGTACAATACTGATTTATATGCCAATTTCACGGAAGCAATGTCACAGTCACGTGGCATTTTAGCCGTTTCAATAATTGTTGATGTAAGTGAACTTCTGTCGTAATTTTGCTTTTTGCATTACAACATTTTAACGGCGATAGTGTGTTTCGGATTTTTGTGGTTACTCGATTAGGAAATCGTGAACTGCTTTCCGATAACTTTATTCGGGAACTCTCAGAACAAATTGTGAGAATTTGATAGTCTTAGGAAAAATATGCATCTGAACAAACATTATAAGATTCAGAATCCCGCAAAACTTCTCTCAAGTGAAAGGAAGTTATTTCAGCTTGGTACAATATCAAACACTGAACTGCGAAAATTAACTGTCGCGTCACAGAGTATTACTTACAAAGGTTTTCATTTCATCAGATGACAGTTAGTCGTATAAGTAAAGTAATTGGGAAAATGACCAAATGGATTGATACCAATAAATTTGCAAATATTTGGGTAAATCTGGCATAATTAAAAAGCTAATACTGTAACGAAATGAAAATGAGAACAGATCTGTTTCAGGCACAAAAACGATACTTAAACGATTCAGTGCGTACGGACTTCTACCACAAACTCAAGATTATATAACATATGAAGGGTCATTGACATTTCCAGGTTGCTTTGAAACAGTTACCTGGGTTATCATGAATAATCCCATATATATAACCAAAGAAGATGTATGACCTTTCTTTAATCTTTTAAACTTCAGAAATTTAGCTTAAACTTGCTTTGTTCTTATTTTGAAATAATAACATACAAAGAATAAAGAGAGATTGTAAGAGGGTAAAGTGAAATAGAAAAGGGTAAATAAATAGAAAAGAATCGAAATCACATCAGTTACAGTGCTCTGAAATCACAATCTAAATATTTTTTTAGCTGCAAATTTGGAATGATCTTCAGCAAACTGAAACCAAGCAACTTAGTCCAGTTTTAATGTCACCCAATTATCGTCCATTAAAGCCTCTGAATGGGCGCCTTTTACGCACAAATATTAATATCAGATATAAGGTGAATTCATCTATCACTTCGATTTTACTTGGAGATTTTGTTGGAAATATATTTGAAGAATATTTAAATTTCGAATCAAAATAAGTAAATTGGAATTTAAACTCTGATATGGAATTTTTTGACACCAGACCATTTCATTTTTAGACGTCAAGTTCATTTTATCTATCAATATCATTATTTTGATTGGTGCATACTAATCAATAGTCCTAAAGCACTTTCTTCAGGTGAAATGTTTTCATTGCAATTTTAACCTGTATGGGTTCATTTGCGCTAACAAATAGTATCTACAAGACATTCAGCAGAGTTGATGCAAAAAAAGTATAATTTACAGAAACGAAAAAAAAAGGCGCTTTCAGGCCAAATCACCACAATCATGTCCGAGCAACCTGTATATCGATATGGGTTACAAGGCAAATCCTAGACGCTTTTCTACGTTGTCGTCATCAGTTGTGAAGCGGAGCTTAAATGATAATAATTCAGAAGTTCGTTGACAATAATCATTATTGCCACTGGACTTCCGCAATTTCGAAATATCAGGCTACAAATTAGATAGATAAACTATCATAATTTTGGATTCCAGAAACGTGAAATGTTTCTCTAAAGCAATCGATGACAAAGATATGCTTAAGAAAATGCTTTTCAGGTGATCAAAGATGCGTATGGCAAGTTGAATATATATTTTTTGCTTTCAGGATAAACCGGAGAATAATTAGTCAATTTTGTAAAGATAATAGTTTGAAGAACTGTCAGGAGTCTTCGGAAAATTCCAGAATTTGTTAGAAAAGACTGCGAAGTTGTTTGAATTTTCTCTGACACTTTTAATTCACTTGGTTTTTAAGTAATCTATTCTTAAGTCTTTATCATTTTGAAGAAAAAAAATTAGCATCTTAGACTTCGTTCTATAGATCACCGAACGGTTCTGGTAATTCCTGATAGTTAGTGATAATCATTTGATTGGTGATTTAGTTGTGTGCCTTTCTGTGCAGTTATTTTTATTGCAAACATAGAAGAATATGTTATATATGTGATGCATATTGCAATTTAAAAAAAAAAAATGCTTTTTATCAATGATCTGATGATTAAGGTAAATTTGGTTTTGATAATGGAAATAGATAGAATTCGAAATGATGAGTAAGGCTGATCTTCTCAACACTTTAGTCTATTGCAAAGGTTTTATTTTGACAAGCAGAGTAGTACATACTATACACAAATGCTCCGACACATCAAGAAAATAAAGAAGAAATAAGAAATTTGAAGATATAAGCCTTAGTTTTTGAATGATAGAATTATCTATCACATGCGATAATTACTGTTTATCATTCTCTATCCTTGAATTTAGAGATTTTGTTCACCAATTCATAGATTATTGATAGGTTATTATGCATTAAAACTTATTCATGACATATATTTGCTAGGTAATATGACTCACTTCTTAGCCGTATTTTTGCTTAGTACTTCGACAGCTTCAGTAAATGATGACAATTCGCCTTTGAAGCGATTTAATCCATCCTTCAGATCTTCTATTCCTCTTATAACCTCCACTGAATCTGTATATGGATCATAGGTAACCATAAATGGACGTTGAAAATTTTGCGCGAAGACTCTAAAATTTATTCATTCACAATGGCAAATGAACTTAGTTTAATGAAACACAATAGAAAGCTGAAAGAACTCGACACTTGGATTTCTCGAAATAAACCATCTGCTAAACTATTTTATTTCATTCCATTCATACTTCAATTTTCTATGATTGGAAATATTTGTTCTTAACTTTAACAAACTCTCTCGAATTCCTTGCAACATCCTATGTGCAAACTATATATGATAAAATTAAACTCAATGATAACTATCACCTGATAACTTGTCAACCGGAAAGCAAGATGTTCCGATAATGAAACTTAGAAAAGGGCATGAAGTAATGCTACTTGATTACATATTTTGTTGAGAAAAGATTTCTTTGTCAATTAAAAGAAATTATTTCAAGCGGGAAATAATGGCAGTAACAAATAAACATACGGAGAGAAACTAAACTGATTATGGAATTTCAGTTTTTAGTTTCATTAATAGCAGGATGGTACATACCTTAGTTTAGTCACTGCATCAAAAATTGAATCAGCAACGAAATAAAGTGGCTGATAATCGAAATCTTCATACTTTTGCAATGCTGCACGTTGTGGATTGAAAACTTCATGTTGTGGTTTATCTGAGCACGCATGCTGAAATTCATTTCTTCAATTAAATCCCAATCTTTCTTGTTGGCGTTTTATTATTATTACTCTCATTATCATTATCGTTATTATCAACTATTATCACCAAAAGATATTGTTTCTTAATAATTCCAACAATAATTGTGCTGTAAAATTTTATGCCACACCGGGAATCATTGAATGGTGAGATGAAACATCAACCATACCTATTTGCCAAAGGAGATCGACTTTCGAATTAGTTCATTTATCTCTGTGGTCATTTTCCCTTCAGATTAAAAACTTCTCATTCGAACCTAACTTTAAATTCAGAAGTTTTAACACAAAATTTATTAAAATTAGCTTATTAGCACACGGTAGAAATCATACGTACCATAAGTTCACCATATGATGAAAGCAATCCGGCACCGATAGCTTTTAGTTGACCATTTTGACGACACAAACCGAATTCAACTGTGAACCAGTAAACCTGACGAATTGCTTCATTATATTTAAAGTATCTATTACAGCAGCAATTACAAATACAACGATTACAGTAAATATCGTGATAAATGCATTGCACGCATGTAAATCAGGTATACTGTCCAAAAAATTCCGCTTCCAAGTAATGGAACAGGGGTTTAAAATACCGTAGCAAGTTGTTCGATCTGTTCATCAGTTGCACCCAACGAGAGAAGTCCAATTTGCTGAGAAAACTGGGCAATGAGCGGATCCGCAAACATCGGACAATGTCCAATAAATTCATGAATTAAATCCGGTTCCGGAGAATGATGAGGTGAACCATGATGTCGAATATATATAGTAGTCTAACAATGAAAATGAATAACAACCAGTCTAAGGATTTTCAATAGATCCTGGAATTTAAGCGTTGAAAACAAAGTTATGATTTTTCGTTTTAAAAAAAAGACTAACTTGGAAAGTACGAAATGCTAAACCAGCCAAGAAATCACGTGCTGAAAGTAATCCAGCACATGGCCGAAGTTTAAATCCGGTTCTACCTGGAAAGCAAATCATCAACAGTCATTTCTGAATTACTCATAATAAAATTTTTCCTTTAAATTAAATTTGATTATGCATAATATTAGTACTTCATATAACTAATAGATTGATCTTATTTAACAGTAATATGGAGATATATTGAAGGTTAAAGCTCTACAAATTTCAAAATTTTGATAATACGATGAATCTTGAACCTTGTTAATACGATGAATACAATTAATCTTGTTACTTTTATGCATGAAAAATTAAGGGATAACAAGATGAGACGCAAAAATGAAAAAAAAAAAAAAGAAGTAATGTCTCAGATAGCAGATGGCCTTGTCTTTAAGGCCTCAGATGAAAGTAATGCCTCAGATGACCTTGTCTTTAAGATTTTTCGGAAAAACAAAAGTATCAAATATGGTTTGAAGTACGATTTTTTAAACGAATTTGGAAACAATTAATTACTTTATGGTATTAAATAACACAATGATTAGAATGTTTAGGAATTTTGTAAATTTTACTTTGTAAATATCTATCAATAAGCGATAATTTCGGTATTCGAGTGGACTCTAAAAGGCCTTCTAGTTCCATCTGTCTGAAATTCTGTTGATACTCGACGCAGGTATGAGAAGGATGCAGTGATTTCAACTTGTTGAAGACAACTTCCCAAGTTTTGTGCTCTTCCGGAGTGTATTCAATGTCCGGCAACTTCTCGCCACTGAAACGGAAATTTGCTTGAAATTTCAATGAAGATTATCACTGACGAATAACTGGAAAATCACATTTTGCATTTCCACATGTCATCACCGAGGTAATTTTCGTCCTAAGAGCAACAGATTAAGACATGAAAAGAAACTTAAGGCTTAATTGAGGACGAAAAAATTTGAGGTTTGGCCATCAACAAACTTACTATTTATAAGCTTTGGCGATGGCGTTCAGTTGCTCTCTTCGTTGAATATAAGCTTTATCACCGTATCCCTAGAATAATGACTGTATCAAATTGACAACAACCACCTAGGACACTCTTCTTACCCCGCGTTGTACATATTCTGGTAATAAATGAGCATGAGAAATGACTCACTATACCGGTCAAAAAATCATTTCGTTTCACTAAGCAGATTGCCAATGATTTTTGTCAACATTTCTATTTTTTGCATTTCTGATCTCATTTTCTGAAAACTTTTTCCCAAAAAAGAGCTACGAGAAGTTGACAAAAAAAAAAAAAAAAATGACATGTTTACAAGTACGGTACCGGATGTCGCGGGTCAGATGTTGGTTCGTACTTTATCACACAGTGATAACATTTATCCAGATCGGAAATATGCTTCGGAAACCATGGAACTGAAAAGAATCATACAACTGAATTATTCTTTATTTTTAATAACATTTTAACTTTTCTGAAAAATTAGCATGAATGAAGAAAGTGATAAAAACTTGGACGAAGTTTTTTGAGCCCCTTTTATAAACACCCAAAATGAAATATTTCAACTCTCCAATTCAGCATTTTTTGTAAATAACTGAAGCTACTTTTTTCTAATGATCCATCGGTACTATTATAAATGTTTAGTCGTCGGATGTGATATCGACCTGCTAGACATTTTGCTGCCTTCAGGAATGCATCTTTCGTGCATTCACAATCAGTAAAAATTTCAAACTTCACTGAAAAAGAACTAATTAATTATTAACTTCCTCAGAAAAAACTCAGATTTAAGCAAATGAACGAGTGTTTTTCCGGAAATTCTCATTTTCCAATAAAAAGAAAAATCGATATTTCATAAAAATCAAAGAAATTGTTTAAAATAACTTTTAATCGTTAAGACTTTTAGTTGCAACTGATAAATGCACTTGATAATTGGTAGTTATTCTAATTATACAAAAAGTTCGCTGGGATAAAGAACAGTCACCTGTCCTCCATTTTACCCCTAATGTTTATTTTTGACAAACAGTTATTTCTTCATAGTATATTAAGCAATCTATTCCAACACATCTAAAACTTTTATATTGAAATCTCTTTCGAAATTTTCGAAACCTTTCAAGTTTTTTTTTGAATCCATCATCATGTACGACCCATTTCTTTCCTGCTCCGGACGTATTTCCAGATGTTTGAGACGTACACCGTTCATTTCATATTCCATCAAAATTGTTGATAAAAACTGAGCGCTATCTTCTGTTGGAGAATAAACAAACGAAATAAGTAAAGCCTTTAATTACTAAACAATATTTATACAAGTAATAAAACATTTAAAGAGCTAAAATTCAATCTAACGGCTTTTTTTATTTGCTAATTTGATAGAGATTAATTACAGGAAGTATTTTCATGAAAGTAAGTCGAAAGCAATTACCTTCGGCGGCCAGTACAACAGCGATTCTTATCGGTACATCGGCGTCAAATGACCAAATCAGTTCGATGCCTTCATCATTCAGTTCCTTTAGGATCTAAATAAGTCCATGAAGGCTGTGTAATAGTGAAAGATGGACGGTTGCAAAGAAATAAAAATGCGGAAAAGGTTGGTGATTCTGATAATGTCGCAGGAAACGAAAGGATCGCACAAATAGACGGCGAGCTTCATTCATCAAGCTATCTTTGTTATAATCGGAAATAGAAATTCTATAACTTTCTCCGCTTCTTTGACCTATGCAAGTATTGCCTCTTTAAAGTTTCGGAGGTCATCCCTTCACACAACTTTGTCGCAAGAATCTCTTTCTGTTACTGCATTTTTGCTTTTGAGTGGAGATCAGAGGAAACTAGTTATGGTTAGGCTAAACTAGTGACAATAGACCGCTTTGACTTTGAGAAATCTGACTAGACTAATCAATGTTTTATCTTAATAGAGAGGAGAAATCATTGCAGAAAATAAATGTTAAAGATATCGATCTCTTTTTTCCACTTTTTTTTTCTAAATCAGTGAAAAACAAAAAAAAAGAAAGAATTGAAGGAATGAAGATAGTTACAGGCTTATCTTATGTAATAACCAACTAGATCTGAATATTCCATTAGTGTCATTGTACTGTGGCAAATATTTTTTAAGACATATTTCAAAAAAATCCAGAAAAACTTTCCCTTTTAGAAGTTCTCTCAAATAATCGATAGCACTTGGTGGAGGAACTTGGCTAGGATTGTTTCGAGAAATCCTTTGAATACCGTATCTAATTTTTTCAGCCATTTTACCAGAAAACGTGCCGCCAAATTTGACCGAATATTGGTGATGATAAAAACTAAGATAAACTATTCTTCTAACTTACACGAGCATATTCCGGTGATTCCGCAATTTCTTTCCGATGTTTTTCAACATTTTGTTGTTTTATTGCAGCATTCTGTAAGCGATCAAGACTAGCCTGACGTACCAAACTATCTCGCCTGCCGAATTTTGACATATCCTTTAATAATTTCTGAATCAGTCCAAGTAACTTCGAAATGGTGCTCAAGAATAAACATACTAACGTTTCTTCAATATTTGCTATATTGAAAGGATATCAGAAACAGAATTCTGTAAATCATGGAGAATACTGTTATTATAATCAGTCTATGTTAAAATGGAAATATTCGAAGAAAAACTATAACTAGCGGCAAACAGAAAAAAGTTGAATGTTAAGGTAATAGCAACTTTGTGGTGCTTTTAAATTATGCTTTTGGCTGGTGAATAATTACAGCACTGAAATACACCCTCTATTGAGTCTAAATACTTCCGCAAATGACAACAGTATGACAAATTTATGTTTACTTTTAGGTTGTACCTTATTCTATGATTGGATTTTTTGCTTTAAAAAAGATACAGAAAACTAATATCAACGATATATCTGAAGTGACAAATAACTATTCCAAAGGAAATCGTTACTCGTTATTATCGGAGTAGACATTTGATTATAGAACTAATCAGAAAAGAAATTGAAAAATTGTCAAAATGAATTGCTAGAGGAAAGGAAAGAAAAATGCCAGTAGTTAAATCAGGCCAATTGTAATGTTGGCTTAAAATGTACGATAGACGTTTTAGACACAGAGGTCAAACGTACTGTCCTTGAGCGTATGAAATTTTATTTCCATTGTTTTACTGATATGACTTCAATTCTGAGTTGTGAGTGCATTTTAAATTTATGAGATATCAATAGTTGAATTGGAAATAAGGCCTGATCATAGCAGATTTTCTTCTAAGAGTAATGATAAAAAGTTTAATTTCAAAAGTTTCTGAAATATTTGATCTTTATATCATTTCCATCAAAGCTTTAACTGCAATAATGTGGGAAATCAACTATTGAAATGGCATGTTTTGTGAATTTCAATTTGTATCGTACGTTAGCTTAACATTCAACATAGCATGGCACCGGAATGAATTATTTCATTTAATCTTTAGAATATCTATATAATGACGATAGAAATTTAAAGACGATAATAGGACGATACCAGTGAAATCAAAATGAGCTCATGAGAGATGATCAGTTAGATTAGCATAAAATACAAAGGTAAGAAGGAATAAATAAACTTGTTTGGAGGGATTCTGTGATTAATGATAACGGATTGTAAGAAATAGGTTTCTTGGCAGTATTTTGGCACTCAATCAATTTATCACCACCATCCTTTGCTAATTAACGAATTTAACTTCAACAGTTCTCCACATTGTGGTACCACTAGATTGACATATCTGTCCCAAGTTTTCATCAGTATTGCTGTTACTTTAATTGGCGTAATTTTCTCCACATAAAATCTTTTACATCCCCTTAAGAACGATTTAACAAATCGTAGCTTTATGAAAAAAAAAGGAAAATTTATCAGTTTTTTGAATTAATCCTATAACTTAACAAAAGATTTAGGGCACTTCATTTTTATCTGTTTTAGAAATTCTGAAACCTGATTGGATTGTTTCCAAATTTTCAAGTTTTAGTAGCATATGATTATCTATAACATTAACGCTTAATTTGAATTCTGAATTTCAATTTTAATTTTGGATGTTATGGAAATTTAGCGGAATTTTTGAAATTTAATTTAGATTTGGAACTTTTTTTTGAGTCAGCCAACCATTTATTCGCAATTGGAAACAAATGCAATTTCATTGGATCTTTAGATATTATATTCAAAAAGAAGGGAATTCAGCTTCGTGATTTATTTTCAAATGGGTAGTTAATGTATCTGGTAGTTAAAATTTATCTTCCTGGAAGCATATAACAGTGAATTCTATTTCTGAAAAACATTTTGACTTATTGAATCTTTTTCCGATTCTTTTCATTTTTTTAAAATTACAAATTTCACTTTTACCGATTAATCGAATCAATTTGTTTTTTTATTGTTCTAAAATTCGTTTGCCTTACAAAAAGCAAATTAAGTGAAGCAGAATTTTTTGATATTTGAAATATTCCAATGGAATCTTCAAAATCTCTTCATTCATTTTATTTTGTCAGAATTCATTCAACTTCAACACACCATAAAATAATTACTCATTAAATTTAGCTTGTTTCACGCCTAAAGTGATAGCTGAGGCTTAAATGCTATTATTACTTCCTCTTTTTTCAACAAAAATTATTTATGCTAATGGAATAAAGCATCATAAAGAACTGAAAAAGTTTTCCGATATTTTGCATTCGTAATTCCCCATCAATTCTTTTCAAATTTTGTTGATTCAAACTGCAAATCTCATGTTGGATGCATGATCCGAATGATATTTCCGGTGAGGAGTGTGTTATGTTTAATGAAAAAAAAAATTGGAATCGCCAAATAATTCCTTATAAATTCTGGGAAGCATTTAATATTGAATTTTTTTTTTCTTTAGAATAAAGAAGATCAATATGAATAACGCAGGTCAAAGAGCATAAGCATAAATGATAACTTGAGTTGCTAAAATAAACGCGACATATGAAAGATGAAATTTTGTCAAATGATGCAATTATCATTCGTCTATTTTTGTCCATATCCAATTTTGTTGCCCGAAGGACGGATAGCTGATAAAATGATTAAAATTACATAAAATGATTAGACTTATCTAAATTGATTAAAATTACATGTAGGATTTGATTGTTGCGTGTTGGTCGCAGATAACAGTAGTTCTTGTCAATAAGTAAATGTCACATATCACTTCAGTTCAGAGTATTTCAGTTTTAATGTACTGAAAGACAAATCAAATAAATCATATTTCGCTTCCATCTTTTTAGTTAACTTGACAGGCTTTATAGAAGAAGCATTCGAATCATTAAACATTCAATATTTCTTTTACGGAAAATTAAATTTAATGTCGCCAATTCTTCGTAAAATGGAACAGCAATGATGTGAAGCAATACATCGCCATAATTGTTTAAAAGAGAAAATAAGGCATATTTCTTTGTAGAAACATTAATGATTAATTTTTTTTCCCAGAAAATCCCTCTCTCTCTCTCTCTCTCTCTTTCTAGAAAGTTCTTTAATTACTGTACAGATATAATCCAATTATTGTGATGTAAGAAAATGACAGCTATGAAGCTCTATTATCACAACCATATATGTAGCTGTAAATGTGACATTGACAGTGAATGACCCTATGTTGACATTTATTACTTGAAGGGTCAAATATCAGTTATTGCACTGGTTAGAAATTTCGAAATAGGAAAATTTTTTCAAAGTTATTTTTTCTATCAGTTGAATTTACAGTTGTTTTGAAAGAAGTGCAAATGAACTTTATCAGCAATATTCCTAAAGGGTCACATTTATGCAAAGCAATGGATCATATAGCAAAATAGAAATTAATTAATAAGCTAAAAAGTTGTTATTCTGATCATTTGAGAGCGTACAAATTCAAATAAAAACTCTGAATCATTCGTTTGTCATCTGCTTTATGCTAATTACCATTAAGCAATTTAATTATGTCTGATAAGATTTTTTTTACAAAACCTTTGCTAAATATTAAGCTAGTAGAGACTCAATTTTTCGCTATTTTTTTTTTTTTTTTTTACAAAGTCGTCAGTGAAGCCTCAGGGGATTTTATTATTTCTATACAATTGGCCCATTAAAAGTTGATGGACATAAATTTTGCCTTTCATCATATGTTATGTTCATTTCAACCCATTATCATTCATTTTTGAATTTTTACTCCTTTCTAGGATAAATGAAACCGGCTGTTGTTGTTCATGAAAACATGTTCAATCTCTTCCAAAAATCTCCCTATTACCGTATCTTTGGTTGAGGAATCGAAAGTTTCTATATTTAAAAAGCTGCAAATTTTCGAAAAAAATTCATTGTTCCCAAATTTCAACGGTAGTCTTATTTCTCTTCAATTTAATTTAAACATGTATTCATGTTTCTTCAAACAATTCATTATACTTCTTTTAACTCTCCAAATAATCGTTATCTTTTCTCAATCATTGATTACTGATTATTTCATTTCTGCTCAATAAACTTCAAATCTTATATGGGCAAGAAATTTTTCCTTTTCCGTTTATCGAATCACTATAATAGCCTAAGTAGTGATGTCATTTAGTGGCGCAAAAGTTTGATTTGTAAGAAAAGTAAGAAAGAAAAATTTCTGTTAGTTATCAAAGAGTAAAGTCAATGCATCCTTTGTGCCACGAATTTCTGAGCAAACATTTACAATAAGATGAGAATATTGACTGCTTTCTTGCAGAATATGATTGAAATTCAACGGTGATGCTACGAGTGCTGTTGAACAGAAATAAGGTCAAAGTTCACTTTACCGTTTTTTTGAAGATACCTACGTCTTATTTCCATAGGAAAATACCATTGTTGTTAATTACTGTTGCAAAATATCATAAGAAAGTCATTGCCTAATGAGATTTAGTTGGGTAATTGAATTTGTACAGACAACTGAATCAGTTGCTTACGTTTATTTTTCCAGATTTCCGGATCCATTGGATCTTATCAATATGGTGGCAGTAATTAACAGTTAGATTTGATAAATGTTAGGTCTAGTGATGGGAAGTGGTAGAATCACTATACATAAGTTTCCAAGTGTCAACTTCTAATGCATCCTTAAAAGATATGACGAACCATTATTGGACCAAGTGTTGTCAGTTTTGCTGGTATTGGATGAGCCTAATATCTTCTAATTACGAAATATTGTAGTTATGGCTCAAAGTATTGTCCACTACTGCTTGAACTAACTATTTGAGACAGGTCCAAGATTCTAGCCAAATCAGTTACAAGACAGTAATACTTAATATCTTTGAAGCATTTTGCCAGTATATTGGGTCTTAAATTGGACTTAAATCCAAATTTGTGATTTGAGGAGAAAAGTGAGGAAAGGAGTAAGGAAAATTCATTTATGACACTTTAAAATGTCACATTCTTAACTTAAGCATGTTCGGATATCGATTTCAGAGTTATTTTATTTCAATCTATTACCGGAAATTATTCTAATTTTCTTATATCTTTGATTTGAAGATAATTTCAAAAAAATTTT